GAGAGAGAGAGAGAGAGAGAGAGAGAGAGAGAGAGAGAGAGAGAGAGAGAGAGAGAGAGAGAGAGAGCCCAATCTAACTAACTACACCCCTCACCCCACCATACACGATCAAGTGTAGCATCTGCACCGATCGGTTTCATATCTGATCCGTGGTCCATCGAGACCTTTAAAAGAGGTAGCATGTGTTGTGAGAGAGAGAGAGAGAGAGAGAGAGAGAGAGAGAGAGATCCCACTCTAACTAACTACACGGCCTGGCCCGTCCCCCCCCACACGATCACAGAATTGCGTATCTCCGGACATCTGAGAAAGAATAATTGTGGTGTGCGGGAGACAGGTATACAACGAGTTTAAATCCAAACAAGCACCTACCCCGCAAACCACAACTGAAAGGAATGGAAACTGTGATCAGGTCTCTGACAGGACGGAAAAAAAAACATATATTCAAGGCATACAAAGCAGCAGCAGCATTCCATTGGCAGTGTCAACAACACTGCACAGGTGAGCCTTAAAAACTACCCCGGCCCCACCCAAACCCACACACGGGACCAACAAACCCCCACCCACCCTGTAACTCATGTGCCAAATTGAGCCGCTGGGCTCCCGACGTGCCCACAGACAGGTACAAACGGGCAGGCCTTTAAAAGAGGGCTCAACGAGGCCTTGAAAAAGGCACAGGCCGCTTACCTGGTCTTCAAGGAGTGAGGCGTTGTGTGGGATAATCAAGGTCTGATTGAGGGTGACGAGTTACATACCTGGTACATGAAGAGAGGTCGCCGATGGTGTTGACAGTCATGCACATTGGTCTTTGTGAGCCGAAGTGATCCTGTTGCGTGAACCAGCTGTATAGTTGGATAGTATGGTAGAGTAGGCTGGGCGTTGTGCGCCAGACAGAGAGAGCACCTCTGGATACTGTGTTGGTGTGGCCTACAGGCTTGGACATTGGCTCAATACTTCATTGTATTGCTCTTTATGTATGGTTTTCTCGGTGCATTCGTACTCTACTTGGGATACTAGCTCATTTGTGTGATTTCGCAACTTGGTTTTATGTATATCGCTCACACTCATATTCCTTGCACTACAAGTGGGATGTTAAAAAAAAAGAGGGGGAGGGTGTGCGAGACCTATAGGCTGGTTCTGAACTCAGTGCAGGATCACCAGGAATCTACTTACTATCAAGTGCAATCAGTTCACGCATTGTAACAGCTAAGTATATTTGAGGTTCGATCTGTTTGATATCATCAGAGATAAAAGGGGTTATTGATTGGTTGTTGCATCAAAAGTGCTCAGGTGGGGTCGAGTAAGTTTTCTGTTGTTGCTCCTTTGAGCATTCCTTAAAAGAACTATTGGTCAATGACGGGAGAAACATAAAAGAGAACTGTTCAGCTAATCTTGAAAACGACTGCCAATACTACTTGGCATGACTGTGAGTTTTCTCTGAGTTAGCCGGTAATATGCAAGAATTTCCCCTCTGCGAGCTTGCACTGTTTTCTCGGATTGCCGCATTTCGGAGACGTAAAAATTCCAATGAGAGATTCGCTCTGTGGCCTTCCAAACAGGAGTGTTATGGCAATGCGTTTTCCCTCCTCTGATTGTTGGGTTTAGTCAAATCGGACCTTGTCTAAGGAAAAGCCTAAACTGACTAGCTCGCTCGTTTTCGAAGTGCCAAACGGGAGGCTGAGGAGACAGTGATTGGAATTGTGGTGCTCGCATCTGTTCGTTCGCAGAATGCGAGTACCAATGACAACGGTATAATTCTCTTCAAAACGCGGAACGCACGAGCAGTCAGCAGTAAGATCACTGATGCGCGCGCTCGTATGAACATGTGATCACTTGGGCTTTCTTATGTACTATGTGAACAAACGAGCGTGCAGTTATGCGGGTCAAAATGTGTCGTTAGGGTTCAAGTGTGTTTTAACAAATGATTGAACAATGTGGACTTTTGGGTTTGCAGTTTCTCGTAAGAAAGCAACGATAGAACTAGTGAACCATCATGCGGTTGTCTCCACAAGTCTACAGGTGCATTGTCGGCCAGTAGAGCTATTAACCCTCTTCACCCTCCCTGAGTATTGAGGTCGAGTTGATGAAATGTTGGAGCAAGAAGAGACAACTGAAAAAGGTAGCTTACCTGATTGTCAAGTTCCTGCTTGATGGAGACTGACACCATCAGCTCTTAGTAGTCTTTGAAAGCTAACTCGAAAACCTTCCATGCTTAATCAGTGACGACATTAAAACACACACAGTGCACTATCTGAGAGGAACGGCTAATTACTACGCTTTGGGACGGTGCCTAATTGAGGATTAACCACCCCTCCTGGAGATTTCACTCAGATAATAGCGACCCAAGTGCTAAAACAGGGAAGATACTATAAGCGTACCTGGATTGTATGAGCCTTTATGTGCGACTGAAGGCCTGCCATGAGTTTAAGATAACCATCAGCGTCAAGCACAACAGAACTTCGATTCACCTTCCCTGTAAGCTGCAAGCCAGCAAGTCCCAATGGTAAATGACTAGCCTCGAAAAGGAGAATCATGAGAACCTACTTGTGAATGGAATACTCCTGTGAAGTTCACGTGAGTTCGGTAGTGCTCAAATCATCATCTCCGGAAGACCTACCAGTATTTGTTGCAGTATGAAGGCACGTGAATTCGCGATTCCGTGACCCAAGAGTGTCAACTGCAATTAGACTCGACTCATTCACTCTTTGCATGCATGTAAACAGCGATACAGCAAACTGGCGACCTGCGCCCACTCAGTACTCAGAGATATCGCAACCAGATAAGAGTTCTCTTGTAAATGGCTATGGCGTCTGCGCGCCCAAACAACTCACTGTTCACACTCTGGATCACCCTGGATGTCCCACGCACATCACTCTGCACACTCACACAGTACACACRCACTGCACTCTRCAYTAAGCTATGGCAGCTATSGCTGCCGCTACCTATYGCTATGGCTACACTGCTTCACTCTCGCCCTCTTCGTCTTCGGGCCTCCAGCAGACCTCCTTGCACAAGACKCTAAAGCAGCGCTTCCGCATGGCTTCCGCAGGAAYGAATGAATGGCTGGGYGCAGCCTCTTGCTTTATACTCCTGTGATGCGTTGGTCTGCCTTGTATCCCTTGGCCCACGGTGTGCACAGTCCCAGACGGTACTTGCTTGACTGGACCGGACTGGGTGGACTGGGACTGCTGACTGCACGAGGTGGACTGCCACCACTTGACCACTTGCCTCTGCCTAACGTAGGCTGACTCCGAAAGACCACTTCTAGAACTCTCTGTTTGGCCTTTCGGTACTGTAGCAGCTACGACTTTGCCCTTTCACGTAAGTAGCAGCTGCGACCTTGACCCTTCGGACAGTCTACAACTACGACCTCTAGACTGTCTAGACTCCTACCCAACAGGTCTACAGTTTGAATCTCTTCTACCCCGTAGCCTACGAAATCCTACCTACCACTGGCGGTCCTACAGGTCGCAGGTTCAAATCTACGGGTTGACACCGGTACTGTACACAGGTAAGATAGGGAACTAGGGATTGAGCCCTGTGATCTGCATCAGCTACTGCGAATTGGTGAATACCATTTCACTCCCGCCGGCCTAAATTCGAGGTCCTCCGAGAAAATTTCAGTCCAAGGCAGGACCTTTACCTCTCTGTTGTCTCTCGTAGGCCCGGACTATATCGGGAGTTGTCTCTAGGAGTTCAGATCTCGTAAACCAGCGGTCGTCTTCCGGTTCTTGATATCTAAAATGAACCTTGTACTGTTTCTGTGGACAACCTCTACCTCCAGTCCTGAAGACATCTTATGCCACTATAGTATCGATATCATATCTTCCATCCATATCCGGTGGGATCATCGACCTACGGGATTGAAACTGATCACTTGTTTGACATGGTAGTAACTTCGATGCATGGAAAACTGGGTAAGTGTGGAGGTGTGCTGGGAGTTCAATGGTGTAGGACGGCCCATCTTCTCCGCCTTTGACTTCCAAGACTGGCCACGGTCCTCTATAGGTGGGCAATAACTTTTGCGAGATGTTCTCCTCAGGGGCAAACTCTTTAGAACTGACCCAGACTAAGTCGCCTACTTGAAATTGTGAGGGGCGACGATGCTTGTTGGCTTGCTCTATTATCTTGTGCTGGGCCTTCCTGAGGTTTTCTACAACAGTAGCTAGTTCTTTTCCATGTTGCACAGCAAACTCCCGGTACCGGGCGGCAATCTGTGAATCTGATCCCGGTTGAGTCCTTCAAATGGCCTGCGGGGCCTGAAGGACTTGTGCAGTTCGTTGGGAGTGCGGCAGGTGGACAGATGCACGCTGCTATTGTACGCACTAGCTACTTTAGGAAGCATCTCATCCCAGTTAATCTGATCTGGCCTAATGTACATGCGCATAACTTGCTGTAGGATCTAGTTCATCTGCTCCGTCTGACCGTTAGTCTCAGGATGGCGGCCGGACAACATCAACAACTTAGATCCATACACTCCCATGAGTTCTTGCCAGTTCTGGCTGGTGAAGCGACTATCTCTATCGCTAACTATTGACAATGGGATTCCATTCTCACTCACCCAACAGTCAAAAACCCTTTGTATGACTAAATCAGTACGTGCCTTTGAAGGCAAAGGAACAAAAACTGCGTACTTACTAAAACGGTCAACTATGACCATGACTTGGCTCTTGCCATGCCTGCTCTTGACCTGAGTGCCCATGAAGTCTATGGACACTGAGTCTCCCGGCTGATTCGGAATGGGCAAGGGTCTGAGAAGACCTAACGGGGCACGCGTAGAAGTCTTGTTACGCTGGCAGACTTTACAACTGCGAACATACTCCACACAATCATTCTTCATTCCTGGCCAGGTATATGCGCGCATCAGATTGGCTCAAGTCTTCTGCCAACCAAAATGACCCTCTGTATCGTGGCATTCTCCCAAAATCAGACTACGGACCTCTTCGCCACTGGGAATGCACAGGCGGTCAAATACATTAGTTTCTCAAAAAGCAACCCTTCCGTAGTGCGGTAGTTTGGCTCTGTCTCTGGGGCCTCCTTGACCTTCTTGAGGAGGTCACTATAGATAGGGTCCTGTGCATAGGTTTCTCTAATCTTCTGCTGCAGGTCCTTCCCTATGTCTAGGTAATGCACTATTGCCCCAAAGTAATCAGCACTCCTACTCAGAGCATCCGCAACTACGTTATACTTTCCCTTGACTGGCTTGAGCTCGAAGTCGTACCGATCTATCTCTGCGGCCCACCTAGTAAGCTGAGGTGTCATCTTGGCCTGCGTCTTTAACCATCTTAACGTCTCATTGGAATAGACTTTAAAGTGCCTCCCAAGCAAGTAGTGCTTCCAATGTTCTAAGGCTTGCCTGAGAGCGTAGAGTTCCCTCTCATAGGTAGTTGTCGCGACCTTCTCTGAAGGCATCCTAGCGGTCATGAACTCTACGGGTCTATAACCATTGCCATCGTCTTGCTGTAACACGACACCTATGCCGTACTGACTAGCGTCCGTAGTGACGACAAAGGGCAAGGACGGATCGGCTACCTTAAGGACCGAGTACTCTATCACTGCCTGCTTTAACTTCTTCATGGCAGACGTGCAGTCCTTGTCCCACTTCCAGATGGTTTCTTTCCTCAACAATCTGCGAAGGGGTGCATCGATGGTGGAGAAGTTCCTCACAAAGTTCCTGTAGTAGTTAGCTAAGCCCAGGAACGAGCGCAACTCTGTCAGCGTACGTGGCGTGGGCCAATCTCTAATCGTTGCGATCTTACAATCCTCTGGTTTAACGCTGTCTCCGTCTAAGACGTGGCCTAGGTATAAAACTTGGGTCTTTGCCCAATCGCACTTCTTTGCATTGATCTTGAAGTTAGCTTCCCTCAGCTTCTCCAAGACCTGCCTGAGATGACCTTGGTGTTCTTGGAGGGTCTTACTAAACACTAAGATATCGTCTAAGTAGACAATAACAAATCTATCTAACCATGGCCTAAACAAATCGTTCATACAACGCTGGAACGTAGCTGGCGCATTGGTTAGTCCAAAGGGCATCACTATGAACGCTGTCTTATACTGATCATCAGGATGCACTTCTATCTGATGATATCCGGACTTCAAAATCTATCTTGGAGAAATACTTCGCCCCCTGCAGTCTATCTAAGGGATCGTCTATTCTGGGCAGTGGCTCAACATTCTTTATTGTAACCGCATTCAGACCCCTATAATCTAAACATCCTCAGCTCTCCCTCTTTCTTGGGGACAAAGAGAACAGGCGCTCCAAATGTAGATGAACTTGCCTAATCCAACCCTTCTCAAGGAGCTCGTCTAGCTGCTTGCGAAGCTCCTCTAACTCCCGCAGGGACATCCTGTACACCGCACCCTTGGGAGTTCTATTGCCAGGCTCTATCTCAATGCAATACTGGATGGGCCGCGACACTACTCCTGTCGGCGGCTCTGCTAGGTCGCATATCATATCAAGGAATTGAAGCGGCGCGTCGTGCATCACCAGGAAATTTCGGAGAAATGGTAAAATATGGGTGAGAGTTTTTTCAAATATTCCTATTACCAGCAAACCTACAGAAGTAAGAATGGGAAAAGGAAAAGGAAACCCTACAGGTTGGATTGCTCGTGTTTCCCAAGGACAAATTATTTTTGAAATGGATGGTGTTAGTTTGTCAAATGCTCAAGCAGCTGCTACTTTAGCTTCACATAAATTGTGTTTGTCCACCAAGTTTGTTCAATGGTCGTAATTAGCTCAGAGTCAATCAATGCAAAACACAAAAACAAATAAACAGTAGTAAAAAAAAAAGGCTCGAAGAGTGTGATTACTGTTGGAACATATTTACAGGTGTCTGATAATTCAGGTGCAAAAATTGTACAGTGTATCAAAATCCTGCATCCTTTCAGAAAACAAAGAGCTATTATAGGTGATACTATAATAGTGTTTTTGAAACAAGCACGAATGGGTCGCAACAATCAGATTGTTGTTTAGTCACCTGTCCCCCAATCAATATCAATAGATGGGTAATCAACTCCCATATGGTCAGTATCCGCCGATTTGGACCTTACCACTTAGTTTCAATGGCAGGCTTCTCTTCCTTAGGCTCAGTCACTGGCCTAACATAGGCTACAAAGACATGGTTCTTTTAGGGGCTCCTTCACGAATCTCGCGAATGCAGGCGCACTAAGGCAGCAATGTGCCAGGGGATTCTCTACTCCTGACACATGGAATAGGCGGGCAGTCTTGGCCTCGCCTGAAGAACTAGGGAGCCTACACTCGTGCTCCTTCAAATGGAGCGTGGCCGCGGCTGCCTCTCCCCAATCCATCCCCAGAACAATATCAAATGGGAGGCTGTCTTCTACGAGGAGAGTCAGGTAGTGGAAAACTTTCTCCACTTTCCCATCTCTCTCTAGGCGGAAATACGCCTGAACTCCCTCTACATAATCCTCTACAACCATTGTACAGTTGTCAGCGAGGATGCTAACTATGGGGTCTGTTAATTTTTTGACTTTTCTGCAGCACTTTCTTACTAATGTAGCTGCGGGTGGCCCCTATTCTACCTCTAAAAATCTCTGCATCTGGTAATATAGGCTGCCCTTTATTCTCTTTTTTCATCTTGGCCCGGGCGGGCATCCTCTCCTTCAATTCATCAGCCACGCCTGTGAGGGAGGTGTCTAGAGAGACTCTAACACAAGCAGTCTCTGGACAGCGATCTAGACACCGGCCTGCAACCTCTACCATAGGCACATGTGGTGTGGGAGTCTCTTGCCGGCTAGCGCTATGTTCCCCACGTGGCCTAATGGTAGGGGCAGTTGCTACCCCTACTGGCGGCTGCCTTTTGGCCCTTGAGCAGGCGTTCGGGTCTCTCTATACTTAGGACAGTATTTGATGATATGGCCCGTGTCACCGCAGAAAATGCACTGGCCCCGGTCCAATTGCTGTTGCCATAGGCCCTGGTCCAGACCCAAACTTTCCCAAGGCCTACCCTCGGGTAGCCCTGGGTGCCATCCACCTACCCTGTAGAGAGACCTATTCCTAGGACGGTTTTGCGGGGGACCTTGACCCCTGCCTCCCGCTTGGCAGTGTCCTCCTCTGTCGCCAACCTCCTGATCGCCTTGGAACCGGCTCCCAGAGGGCCGGCCCCCTTTGCCCTGGCCTGGTCCTCCTCCTTGCGGCCTCCCTCCAGCCGCGACAGCAGCGTAAGTCCTCCTCAATCCGTTCGTAGGGGATCTTGTCGACACTACCTTCATCTAAAGTCAGGACGAGGCTATCCTTAGTCTTAACTTGCCCTGAGATAGTGCGACCCTTCCATTGCTTCCCCCCCTTGTCTAAGTCCCTGTGCTAGAATGTCGAAACTGACACCGACTTCGCCTCGAAGGCCACCACTTCACGGCTAAGAGAATCATATGTGGTGGCAGGGTCTTCGCTTTTTGCGAAGAAATGCCCTCGAAAGGCTTCGGGCACAGCCTGATAGAAGAGGCTGACCAATTGGGTGTCTGTGACCCCATGGTCAGGTACAACCACTAATTCGTCCATTGTGCTCTTTAGGGCCCTCGCGCTCTTCCACTTACGAGAGTGGATGGTTTGGAGTTTGTCTGAGGCTTTGCCACTACGAGCGACATCAGCAAATCGCTCGCGTAGCAATTTCATAAACTTAGTGGGGGTGGTGAATGACGAACAGGCAACTGCATCATCATTGCAGTTGGCGGCGCGAACTAGGGACCTTGCAAAGCTGGCAGCTTCGTCTCTGAGCGCATGGATCGCAATCAAGACATGCTGATCCGGGGAGACCTGTTGCAGGTGAACATAGGTCCTGACATTGGCCTCCCAATTGTCAAAAGTTTTCTTCCCTCTTTCCAGTGTAGGAATTAGGGAACTTAACCTTGACTGGCTCCCTACAAGGATGCGGCTCGCCCTCCTTGGGAGCTGCCACCTTTACGCCTTCAATGTAAGCGAGGATACTAACTATGGGGTTTGTTAATTTCTGGACTTTTAAGTCCCAGCTTCAATTTCTGCAGCGCTTTCTTACTAATATAGCTGCGGGTGGCCCCTGAGTGTACTAGGGCCCCTATTCTACCTCTAAAAATCTCTGCATCTAGTAATATAAGTTGCCCTTTATTCTCTTCATATAGGCCCAGGCGGGCATCCTCTCCTTCAATTCATCAGCCACGCTTGTGAGGGAGGTGTCTAGAGAGACTCTAACACAAGCAGTCTTTGGACAACAATCTAGACACCGGCCTGCAACCTCTGCCGTAGGCACATGTGGTGTGGGAGTCTCTTGTCGGCTAGCGCTATGTTCCCCACATGGCCTAATGGTAGGGGCAGTTGCTACCCCTACCGCCGGCTGCCTTTTGGCCCTTGAGCAGCTGTCCGGGTCTCTCTATACTTAGGACATTATTTGATGATATGGCCCGGGTCACCGCAGAAAATGCACTGGCCCCGGTGCAATCGCTGTTGCCATAGGCCCTGGTCCAGACCCAAACTTTCCCAAGGCCTACCCTGGGGTAGCCCTGGGTGCCATCCACCTACCCTGTAGGGAGACCTATTCCTAGGACGATTTTGCGGGGGACCTTGACCCCTGCCTCCCGCTTGGCGGTTTCCTCCTCTGCCGCCAACCCCCTGATCGCCCTGGAACCGGCTTCCGGAGGCCCGACCCCCTTGGCCCTGGCCTCGTCCTCCTCCTTGCAGCCTCCCTCTAGCCGCGACAACAGCGTAAGTTCTCCCCTGGCTCGCACCGCTGTCCTCCTCCTCTAACCCTCATTCAATATGTTCGTAGGGGATCTCGTCGACACTACCTTCATCTAAAGTTTGGACAAGGCTATCCTTAGTCTTAACTTGCCCTGAGATAGTGCGACCCTTCCATTGCTTCCCCTTGTCTAAGTCTCTGTGCCAGAATGTCGAAACTGACACTGACTTCGCCTCGAAGGCCACCACCATACGGCTAAGAGAATCATATGTGGTGCCAGGGTCTTCGCTTTTTGCGAAGAAATGCCCTCGAAAGGCTTCGGGCATAGCCCGATAGAAGAGGCTGACCAATTGGGTGACTGTGACCCCATGGTCAGGTACAACCACTAATTCGTTCATTGTGCTCTTTAGGGCCCTGGCGCTCTTCCACTTACGAGAGTGGATGGTTTGGAGTTTGTCTGAGGCTTTGACACTACGAGCGACATCAGCAAATCGCTCGCGTTGCAATTTCATAAACTCAGTGAGGGGGGTGAACGGCGAATAGGCAACTGCATCATCATTGCAGTTGGCGGCGCGATCTAGGGACCTTGCAAAGCTGGCAGCTTCATCTCTGAGCGCATGGATTGCAATCAAGACATGCTGATCCGGGGAGACCTGTTGCAGGTGCACGTAGGTCTTGGCATTGGCCTCCCAATTGTCAAAGTTTTCTTCCCTCTTTCCAGTGTAGGAATCAGGGAACTCAACCTTGACTGGCTCCCTACGAGGACGCGGCTCGCCCTCCTTGGGAGCTGCCACCTTTACGCCTTTAATGGCGCCAACACAAAAATGCTCAGTCTTCTCGAGGCGATGATTCACCTCGGCTCCTACAGCTCCTACCAACTCGCGGGCAAAGTCCCTGAACCCCATCCGCATTGAACTCACAGCTATGTCCTGACTTCGGCTAAACTCATATTGCTGTTCTTGCACCCTGGCTAACCGCTCGACGCTTTGGGCAATGATATCCACCTTTTGTTGGAGATCTACCTGGGGGGTCAATCGCAGGGTTAGTTTTTGCACCTCTGCTAATTCCTGCATTGCTGCACTCGCCGCCTCCACTCTTCTTTTCTTCTCCCTCATCATTGCGAGTTTCCATACCATCCTCGTTTCATCTTCCATCGCCTGCTGCTTCAAAACATCTTCTTCTTCTTCCCATTTCTTCATAGTGGCTTCTTGCTCATCCTTGGGGATGTACATAGTTACCTCTTCTTCTTCGGCCAGGGATAAGTTGGCGACCCGTTCTGAAATCCGTTTCTCCATCTCTTCGCCGTTGTGCTGCCCCTTCCTCCTTTGCAGTGGCGTCTCATCTTCCTCCTCTTCCTCTTCCACCTCTTTCAGTTTCTCCTCTTCTTCTTTCTTTATTCTCTCCTTCTCCTTGGCCATCTCTTCCTCTATATTCTTCAGCTTGGCCGCCTGCTCCTCCTGTGGGGCCTTCTTCTTGGCCTCTTTCTTCTCCTTTCGTTCCCTCAGGACGGCGGCCATCTTCTCCTCCTCCTCCTTCGTGTAAGGTTGGGTGGAAGTACCAACCCGGGTCCCTACTCTACTCATGAAGGTGGGCCAAAAGCCCAGAGGAAAGAGGAGACGCCATAGGGTTCCCCAGAGGGAGAACCCAACGAGCAACCCATACATCGGATAGTCATCCATTGTGGTGTCAGGTGCACGACAAAAGTCCCACTCCTCACCACGTAGACCTACCCAGACACTGGCCCACTGACTGACTCTTCTAAGGACCACAGGGCAAGACCCTGTCAACTGTAAGGCTGTCACTACTGAACCAAGAGCTGATCTGGAGGCATTTAAGGAGATCCCCCAAACTCCGCAAGAATTCGCTAACGTCGCAGTCAGGACGACGTGATCAGTGTGGTTCTTCCTGGCGATTTCAGCCCACAACTCAGCCGTTCCGGCCTACTGTGCCACACCGAGCAGCCCACCGGTCTGTACCGGTCCTTGGAGGGGTTCGTATCCCTCGGGACAGTCGAGTCGTTAGACACAGATCATCAGCCTTACTAGGTCCGGTAGGGGAGTGGTTCAACTAGGCCTCAACACTTAAAGACGACCTTCGTTTCAGCCTACAGCTCGGAGTTTGGACCCTCTACACTGAAACTGAGTAGACCTGCCGGACAGTACCGGTCATTGGGCTAGACGAGTTGTTCAACGAGTTCTCGCCGCTCATGCCCAGGTCTCCAGATGCGAGAGTAGAGATTATTCCTACTAAGTCCCGTGTAGGTTTGGCAGCAAGCCCCTATCCTTCATCCTCAGAGTCCTAACACCTAGGACAGAAGAGACTCAATGCAGAAAGAGTAGACTGACAGACTCAGCAAGTACCGTGGGGTAGGTGCACATCCACAGGGTAAGGGGATAGGCTAAGGGCTCAGCGAGACATCACCAACTCCGGCTTGGTCAAAATCTTGGTCAGCAGCTCCGGTCAACGCCTGGTCAATGCGGACAACCCCCAGTCAACGCTTGGTCAACACCCATGGTCAACGCCTGGTCAACCCCTCTGGTCAACCCTCGGTCAACCCTTCACCTCGGCTATGGCTGCCGGCACCTTCACCTTCATCACCCTCGCCACTTACTTCCCCTTCCTTCACTCTTCTCTTTCTTCACTTTCTCTGTTTTTTTTTGTTTTTTTTTTTTGTTCACCCCCGGCTATGTCTGTCTTCTTCTCCGGTATTCCTCCTTCCACACTTCTCTTTCTCTTTCCTTCGGTCCCTCCTCCTCTGTCCTGCCTGTCTCTCTCCTTCGATACCCTGTGATGATACTCCGCGGCTATGGCCGCTATCTTCCTTCTCCACCGGACTACACACTCGCCTCACAGGTAAGTGACAACCAATCTTGGATCGCTCATCTCTCTCTCTCTCTCTCTCTCCCGCCGTAGCGGTATCTTCAGCGCAGCAGGTAATAACCCAATCTT